CCGTTTTCTGTTTGAGCCAGATTAAACTTATTCGCCTCATTTATTTTAATGGATCCTAAAACCGACACATCAAGGTATATTTATGTCAATAATTAACATAGTTGGTCGTTTTAGGATCTGTTTAAGAAATATTTCAAGGTAACATGCAATTGTTTTTTAAATGATTATTTCTACTATGACTCTCAATGAGTAGTAACATTCATGAATATATTAGTTGGGTAAATTGATATAAATGAATGAATGAATATAATGTTGGGTAAAAAAACCGTTCATTACTAAATTACTAATGCACTCCATAAATGAAAATAATAGTAATAAACTAATACACTGATAAACTAGAGGTGTTTGGTGTCGTGTCTTAAGGAAAATTGCTGGAACTTCTCGTAATGTAATGAATCGAAGAATTTTAAATGTTTTTAACCTGAATTAAAATTAAAATTCAAATCATTTTCGATTGTTTTGAAAAAAGTATTCTTTGGAAATTAATTTGTTTTTTTTTGCTTTTCCGAAAAACTAATTATTTCTTCACACTGTCAACCGACAAACAATTTTTGTTGTTTCACGTTTGTTCAGTTTTTTTAATTATTACAATCAGATAATCCGTTCTTTTAATAACTGCTATTTTTTCACTTTTTTCCATATCTCCGAAACGGCTGGAACTGCCTTAAAAAAAAAAACTAATCAGCACAACTCCTCGTCAATATGAATCAAATTATTTTTGAATCATTCTTATCAGATGCTCCTTTTTCTCAAAAACTGCTAATCTTTGCACTTTTTTGCTCCATATCACTAAAACGGCTGGACCTGCCTTTGCAAACAGCTAATCAACACATCTCCCCGACAATACGAATCGAATATTTTTAAGTCCTTTTTGAATAGTCTCGAAAAAAAACCAAGTAACCATTTTCTGCACATTTTGTATTGTATCTCCGAAATGGCTCGACCTGTCTTATATAAGTAATGAGTACGTTTGCCTATTAATAGGAATCAAATGCTTTTTGGGTCTTTTGAATCGTTTGTCCGTGTGCTCGAAAACGTTGTAGCTATACATTGATTTCTTCTGAGGGTATGCCAAAATGTTCAGAAGCTTCTGAAACGTGAAATAACGTAACATGTTTTATTTTAGATTTTTGAACGATTAATATAATTCATCCTTCGGGAAGTCAATCAATTCCTCACTCTATAAATGCAAAGTTTTTTGCATAATTCAAATTGGATGCTACGCATCTCAAAAACAGAATTGCCATTTTTGCACTTTTTGCCACGTATCATCAAAAAGGCTGGACGCACCTTGCCAAAAACTAATCAGTACGTCTCCCTATCGATAAGAATCGAATGCTTTTTGAATCATTCAAATCGGTTGCACCATTCAAATCCGCACATACACACATACATCAATTTTTTCTAAAATATGCCAAAATATTCAGAAATCCCTGAAATTAAAATTATGCAAAAAAAATCATTTTCGAATTTTTTGCGACTACTATAACTTGCCCTAACAGAAGTTGATAATTTTGTTATCATATAAAATTAAAAATGGAATTCACAAATGAATTTATCTTTGTCGGTTGTTGAAAAAATAAATAATTACTATTAATAATTATGTATATAATACAGTCATATGTGTCATTGTAGAGCAATACATTTTATATGATCCAAATACGTTCGTGTACTAAATAAAACGAAATCAGTAAGCATTTCATTGTGGATTTATAATTGATTAATTTATATTCAAACATTTTCTAGAACATTCTGAATACATAATTCGTTACAACGAATATATACAATCGCATGTACCTACTCATTTTCAGAATGCATATATAAATAGTTTTCGGTAATTTAGTTCTAATGGGTCTTAAAACAAACACATCGTGATATATTTATTTCGACAATTAACATTTCTCGCTGGCTCATAAGCTATTAAAGGCATATTTTAGGATAATTCTTTTCCAAAGACCGTTGCTTTATTATTACAAGGCAACTGTGTGTAAAGAATCGTCGTTTCCGACATCGGTTTGTGCGCGGGCAAATGTAATTTGTTATATGGAAATTATATGGAATAATGAGGCAATGAATTAGTGCGCGCTTTTCAAATCGTATGAGAAACATCTTATGTTTTATAAGGCGAAATACATACATCATGGTGGTAACTATTTATTATGCGGACAATGAGCATTTGTTTCGTTTCGTTGGAGCACGTTATGCCAGCCCATTTGTATGATAAGCAGCTCTAGGCTGCCAGTTCCGACAATTAATACGAAATCTGTCAGGTTATTCACGCATCGCACAGTGAAATATACAAAAGTGTTATAATAAACACGATCTTAATTTTAAATTTATGGATTGTTTATGGTAATAAGCTTAATTTCAATTTTATATTATTATCATGACAGCGTAAGCTTGTTCAAGTCACATACAAATTATACTTTATTTTTACATTAACATTCGCATATATATATATATATATATATATATATATATATTCTTAAGGCAAATTGCTGAAACTTTCCGTACAGATTTTTTTATTAAATTTAATTTAAAATTAAAAAAAAATTCGAAAACTACAAAAATATATTTTTGAGAATTTTTTTTAGAGAAATTTTTCAAAAATATTGACTTGTTTTATATTTTGAATTTTTTTTGAAAATTTTGATATTTTTTTGAAGCAATTAAGCTGCGCCAGCATAGCGGTACGGAATCGATAAAAAATTAAACAAAATTTGTATTTATTATTAAAGTGTCTGATAATTTGATGTACATATGTCCAATGATAATTTTTGACCGCCAAATAGCACTTTTTTTTACTTTTCTCATTAGATCTCTGAACCCGTTACACATGCCTTTTCAATTTAAAATTCAATGAGTTCTTCATTTCAGTAATACAAATATAATGCTTTCTGAATTTTTCAAATACTAATCAGCACGTCTCCTTAGCAATAGGAATCGAATGCTTTTCAAAGGATCCAAAACGGTTGATCCGTGTTCCCGAAAGCGTGGACGAAAATTGGGATCCAAACACACACACACATAGTGTGTCCATTTTTTCTAAGGCAAGCCAAAATTTTCAGAAACAAAGACAAGAAATTGAACATATATTTATATAATTTGAAAACTGTAAATAGTAATAAACACCTAAACATATTTACTGTTTCAAAACAAAAACTAACAAAAATAACTACATATAAAACTTTGGCATTCATGAATATATTAGTTGAATAAATATTATAAGAAAAATACTACGTTCATTACTAAGTTACTAATGCACCCCATAAGTAAAAAAAAGTAATAAACTAATATACTAATAATCTAGTGATGCTTGGTATCGTGCCTTAAGGAAAATTGCTGGAACTTCCCGTAACGTAACGTCGAGGAATTTTAAATGCTTTTAACCTTTTATTTGACTTTAATATGAGCCGCTCAGTGCACACATCGACTAACTCCACTTTTTGAAAAAACTGAGATATTAGTGGGAAAGAACTTGGTGTATAATCATAACTTTTTATGATTATAATAATTTTCCAAAAGAATAAAAATTGCCACTGTGAAACGAAAATTTTTTTTGACCACTGACTCCATAAGTCATTTATTTCAGAAGACATTTTGATTAACTCCATTCTGTAGTGTATATGTTCTGGTTGGGCTGGATTTCGGGTTTCAAATTCATGAATTACGAATAAGAACACAGAACTGTAGGGTGTTGTGGGTCTCGAAAAAAATTCATCTAGTTTTATAAAAGACATCGAAGACGTTACAAACTTTGAAAAAATAACATACTAAAATTCGTGTACCTGGCAAAACAAAAATATTAAAACTGCCTGAAGTTTATTGAAACTTGTTCAAAGTACGGAAATAAGAGCTAACTTAATTAAAAATAAATTTCTGGTCGGTGAAAATAGTTATTAATCTATTAACTCAAGATTTTGTTATTATTGAGTCACGTGCGAAAAAAAATCGAGACATAATTTTACCAGATAGTTGATACAATATAATAAAAACATTTAAGAAAAAAAGCGCCATTGTACCTAAGCCAAATGCTTCACTAAGATTTTTTATTTATTTTTTATTTATTTAGAACAATAAATCAATAACAGAAAAGTAACCATCACAGGGTGTCCAGAAAATTGACTTAAAATGCGCTGAATTTAGAATAGAAAGGTCCAAACCTAACGATATACAATTTAAGTGTGACTACAATAAAGATCCGAATTTTAAAAAAAAGTTTAAAGTTTAAAAAAAGTTGAAAACTTGATTAACTCCACAAGTCATATCAAAACTTTAACTTTAATGATAATTATTTTCTCACTATTAATAGTTATAAATCTTATATACCGTTACATGTAAGCTATATATGTATTTATACGTTCTAAAATATATTTTTCAATTTATATTATAACAGGAATTTTTAAAAGCAATATACATTACTTTATCGCTTTTCTCCACTTTCTGATTTTCGGAGTTAGTCGATATGTGCACTGAACGGCTCATATATAACTGATATTCTCTAACAAAACAAAGATTTATCAGTGTAATTAAAATTTTAGTTAAATCTATAACATATAATTTAGTGTAAAGTTCGATTTATTCATAATAATAATCCAGAGAAATTTTATGACCTAAATAAAAAATTGCTTGTAACAAAATGATAGCCACTTGCTGTTTTTCATTCTTTATATTAACCAAAATTTACTTTTGCCTATTAAAATGTTTATGATATAACATCGCTCAACTTTAATTTCTATGATTTGTGACTAGATATTTGTCAATTTATTTATAATTTTAATTTTAATTGAATCTGTATATTTTTATATGGAGACATAAAAAATTCTTTTATTTATCAGATATCTATATAGAGCATCTCAATTGGTGTATTTTCTTATATTCATATATTTTTAACATACTTAATTAGTAATTTTGACTTAATTATTTTGGCAGAAATTCCACGAAAGTTTATTTCAACTTCATATTGGAGCTCTATAATGTCAAGAAAAATCTGATGAAACTGCTGCTTGATATCAAGCTGGCAGAGCTGAATATCTGAGTTGGAACCAGTGATCACGTTTTTACAACATCCAACAAAAGGTTAGTCAAATAGCTAGCAAATTGATTATTATATTCGTATAATATAATGCCAAGTTATAATGGCATTAATTGTTAATATTATTAACAATTTGCACCATATTAATGCCAATATAACTTGGCATTATAATATTTCTAATAGTACTTGTTTCATATAAATACTTTTCTATAAGAATATAAATATAAAATACTGCAATATAAATATTGCAGTTAAAATTTTAAAGTAATTTACTTATTATTGAACTTTATTCAAACATGTAATAATTAATAATGTAGTGATTAATAATAATTAAATAAGGGTTGTGACTTGCAAAATATAGCAATAATTTATTTTGCTTCACACATTTGGGCTGTTATACTTGCTTTTTGAATGCTTTTTTAATTACCAGAAAAAATAGCTGACACTAGTATTTCAAAATTTGAGTTTAAATCCCTTCGAATTTGCAGAATAGAACAAATAAAAAACACCTAAATAAAATTTGTAAATTAATCTTAATTTATAGATAGAGTTAATTTATAGATAGAGAAAACAAAACAGTTTGCCTAAGACTAATAGAACAAATAAAAAACACACAAATAAAATTTGTAAATTTATCTGAGAAAAACATTACAGTTTGCCGAAGACTTTGGAATAAAATAGAAATATTGTTAAAAATACGACTTGAGTTCTTTGTGGCTATATCTCACGGTTTCATATCCTTGTATCCATAACCGTTTAGTCACAATCAGAAGTAGTCCACCCCCAGTTAATAAAAATAAAATAATAGCGGAAAGTTGACGTGACATTCTGACCGCCGCGATAGCGTTATCATACCGGGGCGGTAATTAAGCGATAGTTCAGCCATAGCGGCGCTTCGACCGCCGCGGCGCCCCACGCTGGGCGAGGTGTTAATAAAGATATCGCGATTATTTTTGTTCGCTATGACTCTGATAAAGAAGCAGAAGTTGCTTAATAAAAACCCCCACATACTAATTATATATTCTTTCGTTATGCCGCTGGAAAATGATACCTAATAATGGATATGGTGGAGGGTGTTGTGGACAACTGACCTTTTAATACAACTTGGATTTTTTTATCAAATTTTACAAAAATATAAATAATTAAGAATATCTGTATTAGTATGTCGTCTGGAAAAGTTTATCTGTAGGAACAGCTTCTGCGAATAGTAGATATTAGGACCTATCATGCTGCCTTGAGGTACCTCGTAAAAGCTTGTTCTCTGTACTTTGTTTTAACTTTGTACTCTTGTACTAGTGTTTTTAGTATATTTTATTATAATTCATATTTTGCATATCATATAACTCTTGACTGATTGAATACAAAATATTGAAAAATTTATAGATGAAACTAAGGCATTTTAAATAAATAAATTGTAAACATTCTAGATATTATTTTAAGTATTTTCAAATATGTGTAAAACCTAAATATTATTTAAAAACTAACATAGTTACATTTAATTGTGAAAATTTTACAATAATTAATAAAGCAATAATCGGCAGCTCATATGATATATTTCAATTGATGATAGCAAAAAATGAAAGCAATGAATTAATGCTTAGTTCATTATTATCACTATTGGAAGAATTTATGTTAGTAATTATCAATTACAATATAGACGGCAAAATATGTTCTAGTTAAGTTAAACCTATTCAACATATTGAAAAAAGTTCATTAAACTAGCATATTTTTCACCTAAATTCATTTTTATAAATAATAAATGACAAAAAAGCGGGAGTTGGTAGACGGCATGAAATAATATTTTATGTAATCAATATATTCATAACATATTGACGAATTTCATAATTGATTTATATTTTGCCTAAATATGTTTTGATACATTTGTATTATATTATTATATTTTATTCAATATGAGTTCAATAAATTTATATGAAGATTTATCACGAATTCTTTATCAAGAAAACGGTTTTTAATAGAGATTGATAGATTTATATATATCTTACCAAATGTATAATCTTTCATTGAATTTTCGCGTACCAAAAAAAACAATAGTGTCTTCTATATATCAACCAAACTATTCTGATTGATTCCAACTTTGACATGACATGTGGAAAATAAATATATGCTTTGTATAGATATTTTGTACGATCTCTCATACCAGGTACTTCTGCCTGAGATCTATAAAATTTATATTAAAATTCAAATAAAAATGAAATAAAATGAAATTCTGCTATTTGTACGGAAAATAGTGAGTTATTTACTTATCTACTCACAAACTATTCTAAAGTTTCAATCGAATTTAAATTGATAGGCTAAACTGCTTATTTGCTTATCATTGCCCGCTAATATAAAATTATTCTTTTATAAATTATAATAATAAAATCAAATAATTATTTGACCATAATATAAATTATTGTCTATTATAAATTAGTTATCAATAGGTTACCAATCCATCTCATAAAAATATTAAAAATAGGTGAAAGGTACATATAAAACTCTGTTATTCCTGAGGTATAGAACAAATCCACACCCTTAGGATATTGCAATAATATATCATTTCAATCACTAGGTACGATGTTGACAAAGAAAATCTAATGCAAATCTTCTGTTAGTTCTTGATAGCCATCAATATAATTCATCAAGCCTATACACATGATTTAATTACGCTCTAAATTATATCTTTGCATAATTTTTGAATATGTAAAATGTATTGAGTTTATCCTAACAATCATACACTGCGAGTAATTAAAAGACGGAGTGCGCGTATGTAATATGCAAACAAGTCGCTAACGAGACGCGAATAAATGGTCATAATATTCATATAAATTATTACACTCGGCGCGATAGAAAATGAGATAATATAATCAAGATTGCTTTATGAAATATAAATGCATAAAAAGTGGCAGGCAGGCAGGCAGGCAGTGTTGTAGTCAGTCAAAAAATTGTAAAATTATTTGCTGAACGTGATGGTAACATAAATCTAAAAATATCTTTAAATATACAGGTCTTCATACCTATTTATAAAAAAAGTGATGTATGACATTTCTAGATCCAAAATCCGAAAATCTATGTTATGAAATATTTTTATTCCTTTCCTACATTAATTCTGAGAAGGATTTATATGAAGGAATAATTACATTATAATAGTTTAATGATTATATATTAAGGAGATATTAGGATCGTTCCATCCGAACCCAAACTTTTGCAAACTGTCCGAAACAATACTGAGTAATGTAAGTATTGATCAGTGTTAATTTTGTATTTCACATTTCAACGCTTATGCACCGTATAATAACAGATAATTAATTTATAACAATTAATTAATTAGTTAATATTTTTTTTCAAATCGTCGGTATAATAAGGACACTATAACAAGGCACATGTCAAATATCAATTATAACAACATTTTAAAAGTATCTAAAAATGATGTAATTATTATGTTAATAACCTACATATACTTAAAACTAGTGATGTGCCGACTCGAAAAATTCCCGATTCGAATGATTCGAATCAGAAAAAAACCTGATTCGAATCATGATTCGAATCAACTCGAATCAAGTATATATATGGACAAAAAAAATCATGGATGTATTAATTTAGTAAAAGTGATCCAAATTTATAATCAAAATTGTCAGTTTAACTAATATAACCGACAAAGTAGAAATTGTAATCATAAATTACTATCAAAAAGTATATTTTGAAAATTATTAAAAATGATATAATTTTGAAGACGGCTGAAACATATCTTCAAATTAATTTACCATAATAGATTACCAAACAATTGTGCATCACTAAAGTATATAAAATAATATTTGGAATCATGGGTCGATTGTCTATTTTACTATGTAATCAGTAAAGGATCGCATCTAAACTGAGAGCTGAAAGTTAATTTAATTAATGTGAATTTGCCATTACTTACATAATTAGAAGTTAACATATTATTTACTGACTTTCTGGTGTTTAGTAATTGTTTCAAAAGAGAATTATATTGAAAGATTCCCGAAACTCGTTTCATAATTTCGAGTGGTTTATTCTGATAACATTTAAGATCTAAAACACTTAATTATTATAAAAATTGGGTATTGATATTTCACGAACAAAACCGCTCTCAGCTCTCCGTAAAATAAATAAACACGCAAGAACGACGACGCATTGTATCGCCCATACGGTTAACTCATATCGCTCGAACGGCTTGAAGTCGGGATGATTCGAATCAGAATTCGGAATAACTCATAACGCCGCTTGATTCGGTTTGGCTCATGAAGTCGGAATAACTCATATCGCCGCTTGATTCGAGTTGGCTCATATGAAGTCGGAACAACTCATATCGCCTCTTGATTCGGTTTGAGCCGTATGAAGTCGAATGATATAGTTAGTCGATGAATGCGGTTAAAGTCATATAAAGACGATTGGAGTCGGCCGATACATTTAAGCATATTAAAGTCGGGTGGCTCGCATGATTTAATTCATTATTTATTTTTTATATTTATGATATTTATTTTTTATATTATTATAATATTGAATTAAATTAAAACATTTTTTTTATATTTATATTTATAAAAAAAATTATATTTATGAAAAATTTGTGTTAATACATATTTTATCACAGTAAATATTTCGCGGCTTGATACGAGTTGATTCGAATCAAGTAAAATCTGATTCGAATCAAGTCGTTAAAGGCTTGATTCGAATGATTCGAATCACTTGATTCGACTTGGCACATCACTACTTAAAACTATATTTCCAGGAAATAACATTAATTATTTTAAAAAACATATCTATGTAATATTTATTACCTTTCCTTTACTTTATTACCTTTCGCTCGATACTGAAGATGCATTAAATTAAAAGCGAAGTTGAAGAAAGTTTCTTACCTGAAATAAGAAAAAATAAGATCAGCGTGATTAATACATTGAAAAGCAAGCTGTAAGCTAAAAAAATATGAAGTTTGTATCAAAGTTTCAAGTGCTTTAAATATTTTAGTTTAATTTAATATTTTTGTAGTAATTTATAAAGCAACAATCAGCAACTTATATGGAATATC